CACAAACAATGTCGGACGCGTGTATCTCCTTTGTGGACCTTGTTTTGGACAAGCACCCAGAAGCGGCTATTGTTTGCGGTGGCGATGTAAATCGTCTGGACATGCAAGAATTTAAGGCTTTGTCTGGCTGGGATTTCATGGTTGATTTCCCCACGCGGGGTAACGCGTGCTTGGATAACTGTCTGACCAACCGAGCGGATCTGTTCGGTCAAGCATATTCCATACATATGCTTATTAAGACAGACAATGAGGCCTTTGTTTTACCGGCTGGACCTAAAACTTAAACCTGTGCACCGCAAAGTTCTTGTGCGGGACTGTAGGGAACATCGGAAACAGTCATTTTACATGGCACTGGCTACACTGGACTGGAGTGACGTCTTCAACGCGGTAGACATAAACAAGGCGGTCGACGTGCTTGAGGAAAAGATTCTTGCAGTGATGGATAAGTGCCTGCCGCAAAAATCCGTACGCATTTCATCGCGTGACCCAGTTTGGATGTCCCCATTAGCCAAGTGTATGCTGAGGACTAAGTCCCGTATAAAATGGAACAACAAGGAACGCCTGTCTTTATTTAACAAGCGCATTTCTGAGGTGATAACCGAGAACAAAAGAAAACCGGCTGTCATTGGTAGCGGTGATTGGTGGAAAGGCGTGGACGCCCTATCGCAGCGTCGCAGGTCGTCTTCGATAAATTTGGACAACTCTCTCGTTCGTCTGAACGATTACTTCGCCAACCTGTGTTATGATGACAGCTACGTCAGACCTATTAATATGGATATCCCGGACAGTGTAAAGCTCCCGGAAATATCTGAGCGGTGTGTGTGGAACACTTTAGTTCATGTAAAGAAAACGGCAACAGGACCAGATAACCTCCCGTTTTTGATCTGGAAAGATTTTGCTGAGCTAGTCCCACCTGTCGTTACTCACGTTTGGAATTTGGAAGAGGGCAAATGTTAATCCTTTCCCCAAAGTGGACATGCCTTTTGAGGACTCAGATTACCGTGGTATCAATGTTACTCCCGTTATTGCGCGTTATTGAGAAGGTTGTGTATCGTACGCAAGCACAGTCAGTCATTGAGAACAATCTGAGCCACTCCCAATTTGCATATAGACAAGCGGGTAATTGCTCAAATGCTTTGCTCGCTATCCAGCACCAGACATACAAGTTTTTAGACAGTAGTGACCGTAGCGCAGTGCGAATTTTTACTATGGACTTCAGTAAGGCCTTCGATTTTGTGAACCATACTATTTTGTCTGCCAAACTGAAACAGCTACCCCTAAGTCCGTACATTATCAATTGGTATCAGAGTTTCCTCTATGCAAGACAACAACGTGTTGTTAGCTATATTTTTTTAGGACAGTGGAAATCTGTCAATAGAGGAACCACACAAGGTAGTGTAAGCGGACCGTATCTTTTTAATATATCTTTGAATGACTTGGAGATTTTCTTTAATGGTTGCCCTGTTCTTTTTAAATATGCCGATGATTCCACTATTCTTTCGCCTATCACTAGCTAGGAACCGCGACCCGTCTGCCGACTTAGTAGAACAAGTCCTTAACCTGGTGTAAAGACAAAAAAATGGTCTGCAACCCTTGTAAATGTAAAGAGCTGGTTGTTAGAAAGAAAAATCACAATGTACTCTACTCTCCATTTAACATTATTCCTCAATGTAATAGCTTCGTTTTACTAGGAGTAGCTCTACAGAGTGACGGGAAATTTAATGAGCATGTAAGAACCAAGCTTGTCAAAGCAAACAAGTGTTTACACGTCCTAAGAACACTAAGAAAGGAACACTACTCTCAGGCAGAGATAGATCAA